TATAGTTTTTTAATGTTCATGCTTATAGAAAATGTTGAGAAGCCCAAATTGCCCAAACTAGTTTGGGCTTTGAGAAACAGTTTGGACCAGAAACCTTAGTTATTACACTCAGAACCAAATAGGTTGTTTGGTCAAGAAATAGTCAATGCAAATCATACCCAGGAATTTCAAGAGATCATAATATATTTAAAGGAATTTTTTTACTTTAATGTTGCTTTTAAAATATTTGATTGATAAAATTAATTCTTTCTTTGCTTGTACTTTGTTGATACCCAAAAAAGGCAAATGATTGTCATACACGTGATCAAAATGTCTTAACTGGGGGTGGGAGTAAGTGCTTCTATTAAAATGATATTAGCTAATATATGCCAACACCCTAAGGAAATAAAAATAATTAAAATTAAGAAAAGAAAGCAGAATGAAGATATGCTTTAAATTTTTATTTTTATTAAAATATAAAATATTAACTATCAATACATAATTTAAAAAAAATATATAAATCAATTTGATGCTTCTTCCAATGCCTCACATCCAGAATCGACCACATAAAAGCACCTAATTCTCCTTCTTTTCCTTTGGGATGCATTATCATCATCATTCTGTGATTATTTACAACAGACCATTTAAGTAAAAGCATAAAAATCAATCAGAAAACAGAAATAACTAAAATACTTACATCATTATTATTATCACTCCTACTGTCTTCATCATCACTATCCTCCCTTTCTTCATCATCTCCATCATATCCACTCTCACCCCCGGCCTCTGACTCATCTTCTGACTCATCTTCTTTTTGATCCTCTATCAACAACAAACTCTCAAGATTGCCCAACTCATCTTCTAAATCTGAGCACCTTGTTTCATTCTCTTCCAACACCACCTTATTCAATTTTTTCACATCTATCTCTCCTATTACCTCCAATATGCTCTTCAGGGCCAGTACACAACTCCTCTAATTTTATTCCAATAAAACACAAAATGAAAATCTTGAACTTGTTGATTGAATTGGAATATTCAACAAGAATATGATTTACTTACCACAGCAGGCCTTCTATATCCTTCATCAGTACTAAATAAGTTAAAAAGCAATATAAGCTATAATGATTAATTAAATGATTTTGATGCTTAAATGATTTCTGCATAGTTCTTTAGTAATACTTACTTTTTTCTTCTTGAATTTGATATTCTGATTTTACAATGTTTGAAAAAAAGATAATTATTATTAGTTAGCAGAATAACTAACTCATTGTAACCAAGCATGTTGGTGGACATTTGAAATGTTGCACCAATTTTTTTGTTGTGTAATGTAATTTTACAATACACAGTGAATGTTCTCTCAATAAATAAACTGGGTTTCAATTGTACCTCAATTGTATTCCCAATTTAGAGAGGTGAGGACTATACGCTAGTGAATTTTCAAAGAAAACTAGAGTGACAAGTGGTGGTGATAACTACCATTCTTATGATACCCATTTCTTTCATCTTTATCACATTGTCATTTTCTATTAAATCTTGACATTGTTAAACAAGAATTAAAATTTTATTTGATCAACAAACACGTCATTAATTATTTATTATTGGCACTTGGTGTTGCACAGGTTTTTTTTGTTAATGCGATTGATTTTTTTTTTGGAAAAACAATTTATTTTTTAAAGACAAAAGCCAGTGATGTTTGGCATGATTGGCTCTAAAAAGAAACTTGTTAATAACTAACCAGAGATACCTTTTTTTAATTTGCATTGATATATCTTTTATATAAATGTATATTATTGAAATCAAAATGCGGAGCAGATCTTGCTAGGTAATTATAAGATTCTCATCATGATGGTAAACAATTGGTATTTGGCTTTTTGTAATCAATATTAATTACAATAAAAAATTACAAGATGTCAAGGCAGCACACCGTTGAATATGAAACAATTCAAATATGAAACATTTCAATATGCAATGTTTGATTATCAGAAATTAGCAAGTGTTGAAGCACGCACACTACCTTGAACACTTACAGTCATTCTTATGTTCCTCATGTACACAAGGCTAATCTGACCACGGTGCCCCCAATGACACAATGGTGCAACAGAATTCCAGGGGGGAGCCCAAGGCCCTGGAGTTTACCAAGACTGCATCATCCATCAAGGACACTTTTGATAATCTTCCCTCACAGCACCAAAACCCGAGAAGGCTGACAAGTTGCCTATGATCCTACTTCTAGGATAAAGATTGATCTATGACCAAGTCACAACTCTGTTGATGAATTGTAGTGCTATGTAAACATATAGGTCTATTGAAGCAATAACTTGTTTCAAGCACAGGAGGTTGCAATTCAGAATGGAGTTGGTGGCCCTGATATTAGTAAAATAAAATGGTTCAGATTTGTTTGGTATGTTATGTATAAATTAATCATTTTTATAAATGCTCTGCTTCTCTTTAATTTTTATTTGACCAACTGGATTGTTATTTAAATGAGGGTAAGGTTGTTGGTGAGTAGACATGCCACCAACAAGACAGCAACCCAGAACTCAAAACTCTGAATTCAGGGAAAATCCAAAACAACAACCCAGGTTGCAACCTCCCAAGTTGGAGAATTTTCAAAACAGTTGCAGACACTGACTTTATTCAAGAGGGGTATAACACAAAGTGATCATCACCCAAATGCTGATATTCATCTGTGATCAATGCCCCAATTGATAACAGGCAAGCCTGGTCTAAAGGGAAGATAAGGGAAAGTTTTGTCCAAAGCCTTCCAACTTGTGGGGTGCTTCAACTGTGGAGAAAATTTCATGGTACTGAGGCGTGTGAAAGCACCTGACTGCATGTTTGTGATAGGAAATTTTAATTAAATCTGACATCTGCAATCAACATCAGATTTATTATTCATAAGGAACCATAATTGATAATCAGGAAAAGTAATTTATTTTGTGAACCCCAGAGATCTGGGTAGTCATGCATTGTTAAGAGTTTTGTTTATGCATGGCCTTGGTATCATTACTACCTGGGTGATGCAATTGTTTGTTATGTCAATGATGATATCAAATGTATCAAATAATCATCATGACCATCATGAATATTTGATCTAAATTTTGGGCAAATTTTAAAAGTATAGAAGTCACTTTCTGTCCTACCTTTTAAAAAAAATAGCTCTATTAGTTGATAGAATATGTCTTTAGTTTTAATGTAATGAAGAGATTTTCTCAAAAATTATTTAGAGTTCTATTCTTTTTAAAAAATGTACTTTACTATGCGAGGAATTTTTCACTACGATCATTTCTAAATTTAGGAAATTGGTACCAAATTTAGACTAGCTCTTGACTATCGTATATATCTAATTTTGACAGTAAGAAACTAAAATCACGTGAGACCTATTTTGAAATTTGGCCGCATGGCGTAGCAATAGGAGCGAGCCAACCATACCTTCTGATTATTACAGATCACTTATTTGTCCATCAACAATTTTCCATAAATAATAACAATAATGACAAACCTCTTACCTTCAGACTGTATACATGCTGTAATAAGTTTTCTTAGTGACAATGACAAGGCTTCTTTACATTCATGTTTATTAATAAACAAATTATGGTGCCTTACTATAGTAGAAAAATTGTGGAGTAAACCTTTTCTTCTAACAAGATTAGACAGATCTGCAAAGTTAGTTGAAACATATTTATCATGTATAAATGAGGAGGAACTTAGTGTTAAGGAAGGAAAATTTTTTAAAAAATACAACAAGCATTTCTTCAAGAAAAAATCAGCTACTTTTAATTATCCTAAATATTTAAGATCCCTCAACTACTTGGACATTTACAACTCTGTTGAACATTGGTCGAACGGTAGATTCTCGGTTGATGACTGGCTACTGGTTACAAATGTCTTATGTAAATTATTTATGAATAGATCGTCTGCTTTTCTTAATTTATCAATTGAAACAGGTCAGATGATACCTTTAGCACCAATATTTTGTCGCAAGGTTAACAACAACAGTCCGTTTTCGCTGATTAGAGAATTTTGCTGTTATGGTAAATTTCAAAAAGATAATATTTATAAAGAGATGGCCAAAACTTGTCGTAGAATCGAAGTACTAATAGTCGAGGGTCCAGATATAGATTATGTAAATAATTCTGATCAAGAAGAAATAAAAGAACTGATTACGTTGATCACTAACCAAAAGGCATTACGAAAGCTTGAATTTCATAATTTTAATGTGTATGACAATTCTATTGTTTCTGCTTTAGGGAAACATTCGCAAACTTTAACTTATTTGGTTTTCCATTATGCTACGTTTATATCTGATAAAATGGATGAGTTAGAAGGAATAACAGATTTGGAAAATTTACAGCACTTGGCATTTAATGGCTGTGAAAATGTGGATGAAGAGTTATTGGAACAGTTACATGTCAAACAGCTTCCAAAACTAACAGAACTTGATTTCAGGCATACACGTCCACCACCTTCATCCATGAATATATTGATTGACAAGTACGGTCAGATGTTAAAAAAATTATATTTAGGAGCTTTACAATGTGATCATACTCAAACAGATTCTTGCTTACAAGTCGTCCGTAATATTACTGAAAAATGCTCAAACAACTTGGAGGAATTTTCGATAACATTTACAAATCCTTTATTAGATTGTTTTCTTCGTTTATTGGAATCGTGTACAAGGCTCAAAAAATTAAGTATAACTGGATCTTTTGAGTATACTGACGATTCGCTTTCACTTATTGGAGCCAGCATACCAGTTAGTCTAAAATCTTTGATAATTAGCACAAAGTGGAGTAGTGAACTTGAAAATTTGGAGAGGTTCTTCGCAAAATGTGAAGCAGGATTGGAATATTTGTTCATTGAAAAATTACCGTGTATAAGTGACAAACATATCAACGTTGTAATGAAGCGTCAGGGTAATACGCTAAAGACGTTGAAAATCCTGGCATCTGAAATAAATATTTCTGATGGTGTGATGAAACGAGCCAAAAAAAAGGTGGGAGTTGTCAACATTAGAACCGATAGCACTTTATTGTATGAAGATTTTGATATTCTTTCAAATCGTGAGTTGACAGGAATACCATGGAAGGAAAACTGGTACGAGTTTGTTGATGTACCAGATGATGAAATATTCTTTGATTATAGTGACGACGATTATGATTATCATTACGGTGATGAGTACGATTATGGGTACGATGATGAATATGACTACGATTATGATAATATTATTGATGAAATTATAGATGATGACGAATTTTATGATGATTTTGTTTTAAAATGATGTACACTATTTCTGAATCTTGCTGTTGTTATATGTTAATCTTAATTTGTTTGTATATTATTATTTGCAATCTATCATTATGATTTTATTTTAAGCAGTCGACTGGAAATACAAAGTTTATTTATTATAATAATAATAATTTTATTATATGTAAATATACACACACATATATATATACACACATAATAAGTTTTATAATTTATCAAAGACTCTCATTGCCATTTCGAATGCCACAAAAGTAGATGCATTAACAGGACCAGCACGTAGAATACAAGTACCAAAACCCTTGAAGAATCCATTGATTCCTTCTTTGCGAAAAGTTTTTCTGGCGCAATCTATTATTCCTTTATATTGTCTTTCCTCTCCACTAAATCCGTCAGTTTGTATTTTACTTTTAATCACATCCACTGGGTAAACTGACAACCACATTCCATATCCTAAATAATAATATTGATATTTGTTAAATTATTAATGAACATTTCTATTACAACAACCAATCATGATGCAAACCTGCTGCCGCGCCATATAAACACGATTTCCAACTTTCAATCTCGCTGCGTTTCTTTTGCTCTCTTGACATTGCTTTTTGAAAAAGATATTCGTAAACAAGAAAGTACGCACCATAACCTTGAAATTCTCGAATCATTGTTATGGTTTGTCCTTTATATATTCCCTTCATGCCATATGAAGAATATATCTGCCTAATGCAATCAATTGGCCCAGAGTATATTTTTGTTGAAACTGCTTTTGATGATGGTTTAATATCAGTGGTGGATGTGATTTGAACCTGAAGTCCTATTTTTGAGTAAATAATAGACTTTTATGAATTAACATTACTACTTTATAGTGGAAAAAAGAAAAGATGAAGAAGGAATGATAAAGCTTACGTGTACGAATATGTTCAACAGGACCTTTATAAAAAAATTCATTAAACCAGATTTAGATTAATCACACTCGATCAATCAATTCATCAATTAAAAAGAAACATGCAAATAAACAA